CGTTTTTTCCAGCCAATTAGAGTTGCTGAGGTACCCCATCTATACTGCACATTCTGTTTCCCTCATTTGCTCCAGCAGGGGTCTCAGGGATCTCCTTCTCCTTAGGGTCTCTGGCTGTTAAGTCGCATAAATTTGGATAGTCCAATCTCCATACTTAATTGATGATCTTCCCTTAGTTTTCTTCCAAATCTCATCTTTGGCCCCAAATTTTTGGAACTGGACAATTATGTCTCTCTCGGGCCTGTCCTTTTCAGTAGCCTGTTTGAACTTTCCTATTCTGAACACCCCGTCTAACTTGATCCCATCTGTATCAGGTCTGTCTCTTATGGAGTTCAGAATTTTTTTAACTAGATCATATAGCGTTTCGCCTTTTGCAGTCTCCTCGTACTCTAAGATTACACCTTCTTTCTTTATTTTCTTGAGCTTCCATCCTATAGGTCAATTTTTTCTGATCCAGGGGTTACCAAATGGGTTTATTTTTTTTCCTTAGATTATCTATGTTTTGGGCCTGGATTTTGACTTTCTCCTCTGATTCTTCCATTCTTGTTAGCAGATGCCCTAAATCCTTTCGTATAGCTGTCAATTCATGTTTTATCATTTTTTCCAAATTTTGAAACATTTCTATCATCTCCTTCATATTTGGTACTTGTAGTTCACCATCAGATTCTTTTTTTCCCGAGCCATCTACTATTTGTTGGCTACAACTGCTATTCATGCCCAATGATAATCTAGGACTGCTTCCTAGACCTAATGTCCATTTCCCCTTTTGCGCTTTGCGCCTTGGGCTCTTTCTGGCGTAATATTTCCATATGATGTAAATTTCTTTATTGTTCCTGTTTGGGACCCTTTGAGCCCTGCTCCCTTGGAACCTTTATTCTTCATATTCTCAAGATGGGATTTTACCGCTTCTTATGATTTATGGACCAGACAGGCTTGCTGTTTTTCCTATGTGTTTTTACTCTCCTAAAACACCTGGGCCCTCCTCTCTTCTTCTCTTCCAACCCCTGGGAATCCTCCCCTCTCCTCTTTCACCCCTTGGTCTCCTGTGTCTCTCAAGGGTCCACAACACAATAAGCCCCCAGCAGCACTCACTCACCCTTCCCAGGTCGGTGGCTCCAGGCTTGTGGCTCCAGGCTTATGTGGAGGGCCTTCACTGCTGCACAGTCCTGGAGGGGGATTCCTCTTTATTTCATTTTGATTCGTCCCAGGGAAGCAGGATGGATCTCTTGATATTCATGGGTCTCCCTGACCCAGGATCAGACAGTCAGCCAGGGGGTGCTTGCAACAGTGGACCAACGGCTCCCTGTCACATCAGGAAGCCGGCCGGCCGCCTCTTTCCCCCAGTGATGCTCCGCGGCAGGTCACGTGCTCAGCAGCGTCTCCTCTCCTCTCAGCCGCACGGATCTCCCACTCATACCGTGGGATCCGGCGTGACCCTGCAGCCTCAGATCAGCTCCCATCTCTCCGGCTCTCCGGGTTCACCTTCCACCCCGTCCAGACTCTGGTGAGTCTACTCCTCTTGAGGGTAACTGGGTGGGTCGGGAGCTAGAGCCGCTCGCTTCCCACAGCCGCCATGTTCAGGCTCCTCCCCCACTGACAGTGTTTTTAAGTACTTGCTATTCGTCAATAAAAAATTTTTTGACTTTGCCACCATGCAAGCACTCCTGCCAGGCTCTAGTAAAATAACAAAGTGTTCCTTTATTTCACATTTTACTTTTCAGTATTTAGTTTTTATTTCCATTTCACATCAATTTCTCATTATTTTCACTTGATCTGTTTTATATCAATGCAGCTAGTTGTGGTCAAGAATAATAATTATGTGTTATGTGTTGTAGGGTGAGCGAGGATTGCCCGGTTTTCCAGGGCTACATGGGCAGCCAGGATCAAAGGTAAGGCAAACTAGACAAATTTTGTTTTGCTTTTTGTAATATTGACAGAAAAAATAAGAATCAAATGTTATCAATTAGTCCTAATTTGAATGCAAAATTGACTTAAAGTGCTTCTGTCAATACAAGGTCAAAACTAAACTAAAGCCATACTGTACAAGAAGATGTTGTATGGTTTTCTTCATGGCAGGCCTTGTCTCTGACTGCTGCAGATATCTGACACTTTCAATATGAATACCTGCCCCCTCCCCCCCAAAAAAAAACACTGTGTTTCCTCCCACTGGCTTGTATATCCTGTAGTAAAGTAGAGGCCAGAGGTAGGAACCACAGTATGTGGTGAAAGAGTATGTATATACAAACTCAGAAGTCTTGGATCTTTGCAGTGGCCAGAGATCAGGAAAGTGGAGGAGTCTGAAGACATGGTTGCTAGAAAGCTAAGTATATTGATCGTGATTTCCATTTTTGGCATTTTAATTTGGTCACTTCAGTGACAGATCCTTTTAAAATGTAAAGCATCCATAGGCACTAAAAGATCATGTGGGATGGTTGGCCCATCTATAAACATACGATAATTGTTCAACTGAGTGTACTTATTTGTGCCTATACAAAACAGAGGTAAAACCAAATGAAAAGTTCTGCAGGTTCTGACTCATCTTGAGGGAAACAAGGAAATGTATCTAAGCTATCTGATTGTTCCACCTGAGAATAGGTGGCCAATGCTTGCCTAATTTCATTGACCCCGAGAACTAGCTTCATCTCCAGTATCTTAAAGTGGAAGTAAAGTCCACTTTAGAACTTGTACCTACAGGTAAGTCTATAATAAAGCTTACCTGTAGGTACAATGAACATCTCCTAAACTTGCATTGGTTAGGAGATATTCACATAACATGCAGTCGGTGACATCACCGGACCACTGAAGGGATGGCATATCGTGCTGGACCTTCAGAGCTCCGTGCCATAGCCGAGGGCTTCCTTCACCTGGAAGGAAGGCCAGTGAAGATTGCAGCACCAGGGAGCCATGACAGCACTGCACTGAAGGACTCCATACTGTGCAAAGAAAAGTCTGACATAATGTACCGGTATGCGGCATATTAGTACATTATGACCAAAACCTGCAGGGGCCCAATTTTCTTCTTGGCGTTTATTACCACATTAATGGGACAAAAAAAAAAACCCAATACATATTTTGACAGTCAAAGAGACTTTGTTTAGCCTTCAAACTTTAGATGATCATTTTATTCTTTTACTGTATTTGAATGGCTTGCATCTGTGAAAGTTGGTATGTTCCTTGTGACATCTGTAAAAAATCTGCAGAATATGCCAGAACAATATGGCCAATAATTTATTAATAAATGAAAAAAAAGGCTTTTAAAGTTTGTATACAGTATGTATAGAAATTATTTGCAAAGACTTTTGTGACCAATGATAAATGATGTTATCTTGTTAAATGTGGAAGTATTGTTAAGGGCTGACCTGTATAAGATCATTATGCACTATAATATGTTGCCAGCACACTTTATCTTTTTAGAATGATGTTTTATTGTGTCATGTAGCAATAGGAAAGTGCAATGGTACATAATTAAGCACAATGCCACAATAAAGCATCAATTTAAATGAGAAGGTGTGATGCATATGGTGCCTTCTGTGAGTAGCTTTATTCAGATTCATAAAGGGTCCAGTCCTATATGGTGTGCGATTAAATCATTACATGTGCACTCAACAGTACATGTGTAAAAAGTAAGGTAACCCACATTAATGATCATGTTTCATTAAAAAAAAGATAATTTATTTAACTGGATATGGCCTGTGAAGGTTCTCATTTAACCAGGTCATGTTATAGCTAGTAATGGTTAGCTGCATTCAACTAGACTTGAATGCAGTTAAAATGTTTGGCAGCTTATTAAATCAACTTCAGTTCTAGTGAGTTTAAAACATATGTCACCAGCATTTTTATCAACATTGGTAACTCAGTCACTTTAAATCATCGATTATCAACCAGGGTTTAGTGGAATCCTAGGTTTCCTCCAGAGGTTGCTAGGGGTCCTTTGAGTTGTGGTTGACGAACTTGTAATTTCATGGAGCCTGTATAGTTCCAGAGGCTATGCCACTTGGCAGAATCATCAGCATGACACCAAAGACATTTTTGCTATTTGTAAGGGTGGCATTCAGACCACCAGTGTCAGGGAGACATTCTTCCAACTGACCACCAATGTAAGGGGCATTTTCCCACTAAATTGGTTTTAGCAGGGTTCCTTGAGATCTGGAAAATGTTTCAAGGGCGTTGTTGGGGTGCAAATGTTTAAAAAGGTCACCTTATTGAATCAAAGTAGATGTTGACTATCCAAGAACTAGATGGGAGGTACAAGAGTGTGTTAAACCACCCTGTTCTAATTATTTCATCTCATATCTTAGTGTGAGAAAACTGCTTCAGGTGTTAATCCTTTGATTTACATGGCTGGAGGTGTGGATTGTTGTTAAATTTCCATGTTAGGGGTATTAAATTGGAAATAGATGTGGATGACAGAAGGTGTTGAAGGCCTCCACCCTTGTTTGGCAATGGTTATTCCAGTTTGATGTAGGTGGCTTCTTTCACACCTCTTTTACACACAAACCAGGTGTTCTATCTATCCAAAATGCTCACCTCACTGCTCTCAAAAGAATATCTGCTTTCCATAAAGAGACTATTTAAAAAATGCAAGCTTTTTAAATTCTTACTTACAGAATTATCTTTCCATAAACAACATTTTATTGATTTGAATGTGCCTGTGAACTTACTAGCAAATCTGACTACTTTAGTGTCTTCTTCCCAACATAGTCCCCTCCCTCCTTACACATCATAGCTCTCTCCTCTTCTGTGAGTGTCTAATTACACTATTCGTTCTGCTGAAAAAACTCCTCCAACCCTCCCCTTACCTTCCTACATAGGTATGTATTTTATATCCTCATACTTCTGTTTTAACTGCACTTTATATGGCTCCCTCTTCCTCATTAAAAAGCCCAGGTGATGTCTTAAATTGGCTATGCACATTTTAGCACCATGAAGCTTAGGTTCTAGCTGATGTAGTGCATTTTTGTTTTTTTTGCACATTATATTAGGGTGAGCGTGGACAGAAAGGAGACAAAGGAATTGCAGGGCTAGATGGAAAAAAGGTAGGTATAAAGGTTTGAACTGTATTTGAATGTGAAATTAAATGACAATAGATATAACAAAGCATGCATTTTCCTTGCTCCCACATTTATACAGCAGGAGATCAGCAAATTAAGAATTAATACCTATTTTGGATTTTAAGGGGGCAAAAGGCGAGAAGGGAATACCTGGATCATTTGGAAAGTCTGGAAGACCTGTAAGCATATTTCTGTAATTATTAAGTTGTTGTTTAGAGATGATCAATTCAATCCACCCCTTTCAAGATTAGAATAGTGCTTTGCCAAATTGAGAGATTCTTCCTAAAGCACCAGTCTATCATCAGAGAGCAAACAGAATAGTATAGGCATGGAGAGGGAACTTCACATTTGAGGCTCTCTAGATATGGAAATACCTGATCATATATTTGATGTGCTGCACTTATATATAGGGAGGACAGAACATTATAAAAGGCCACAATGAACAGAGGTGGATGTGAACGTGGCTTATGGGATTGCTAGTAGTGATGGGTATTTGCTGATAACCATTTCTGTCACAAAAAAGCTGCTGCTTTTTTTATAATCCTGGTTTTAACTTTTTTTGACAGGGAGAATCGGGCATGCATGGGAAGGATGGTATACCTGGGTATCCTGGAGAAAAGGTGATGAAACTTAAAACGTTTTAGGAAATTCTTAAAAACATAAAGGGTTGGTTCAACTGTATTAAAAACAAAAACGATTCAGTTACACTACATCAAAGCAACACCCTTTTATAATCAAATCTTACAACCATGCCTCTATTCTGGCACCATACCTGTCTGTCATATTCACGATAGGACAGATCCACGGAAAACAGTGGCATTTAGTATGACTGAATAGTGTTTTGATTTGTTTTTTTGCTTTTTTTTTCATTCATGAAAGTCAACTAACCATTTAATTAAAATAATGAAAAGTATATCAGCTCTGAGTAATTTATGCTAAGCTTACTTTTGTGGTTAAAATGTTGATATTTTTATTGAGAGCCAATTGGTTTTAAAATATAGTGTTTAGCAATGAATAATAAACACATTATTTTAAGTTTAAATCTTGTAACACATTTAAATACCAACTCTACCAAAAATGGATATATAGGCTGTGTGAGAGGCAGCAAACTGACCCACAAGCTGACTTATTTTTTTCAGTGGTGAGATTTCTTCAAGTGATAAAAGAAGCTAGTAAATGGTTTAACCCAAAGTTTAAGTGATAGTGAATGTATTTTATTTCTTTGCTTTAAATAAAAAAGATGTTATATTTACCTGCTCTGTGCAATGATATAGAACAAACTGTCCCTTACTTCAACAGACAGCAGCAGGAGCCTTAGGCTCCTGCATCTGCCTGTGTCGCCTGTGACACTAGGAAGAGAGAGGAGTAGTGCTGCAATTTGGACAGCGCTGGATCAGTGAGAGAGAACCAGGTAAGTGTTTATGTGTGGGGGGGGGGGGGGGGGGAGCTAGGATAGGTAGTGGTGATTTTTTTTTTTACCTTAATGCATATAGTGCATAGAATGCATTAAAGTAAAAAAAGTTTTGATTTCATAACTACTTAAGGCACTCAAAAATGAGTAGAGTTGACCTTTATTGTGCAAAGTAGAGACTGTTTTATTTTGCACAGCTAATATATTCAGTAATTTGCCTGTTAATATAATTCACCTGTTATGTGGCCAAGTCATTTTGGCAGATGGTCTCTCTGCTACTGGAGGCCAATCAGAGGAGGTTGAGCCGGATAGCTTTGTAAAGTGATTGGATGTGGGAAGAGTTCAGAGTCCAGGATTACACCTAGCACCCTGGCATGAGGGGACAGGTTGATGGTTGTGCCATTGATCTTGACAGAGAATTCAGGGGAAGGGGCACGAAGGGGAGAAAATATTAAGAGCTCGGTTTATGGATAGACTGAGTTTGAGGAAGTGATGTGACATCCAGATATGTCTGTCAGTAAGTTAGTAAGTTAGTGATACGTGAGGAGACTGATGTTGTGAACCGAGGGGTAGAGAGATAAATTTGGTGTCATCAGCATAGAAATCATATTGAAAGCCATGGGAGGCTATCAGCTGATCCAGGGAGGAGGTGTAGATCAAGAATAGGAGAGGTCCAAGAGCAGAACCTTGGGGGACCCGTACGGAGAAAGAAAGAGAGAGGAGGAAGTAGAATTGTGAGGGACACTGAAGGTGCAGTGGAATAGGTAAGATGAGAATCAACAAGAACACAGTCACAGAGACCAAAGGAGTAAAGTGAGAAGGGAGTGGTCAACCATATCAAAGGCAGCCGAAAGGTCCAGAAGGAGGATAAAGTAAGCTTTCTGAAAACAACAGACTTTTTTTCCGAATGGAATATCTTAAAAGGACAGGTCACCTGTTGCTACTTTAAAACCTTGAAAATGACATGTTTAAAACTCATATGATAATTAGTTTAGGTAGATAGAGAAAGGGAACTTTTAAATTTCACATTTGATCATTTAATTGTTTTTCTGTTTTGTACTAACCATTTTTCTTATTTTAGTGTGTTGTTCCACTATTATACAGGATTTTAAGGGGATTGCCAAATGTATGTATTATGAGCTGTATACACATTTATATCAAATCCAACACCATCAGGTGCTCTACATTCTTCCAGATGTCAACTAAACCCATCAGAGTTGCCTAGACCCAGTTTCTCCATGGCAAGGAAAATAGAGCCCAAAGCCATCCCAGAAGGTTACCAGATAGAGGTTGTTAACCCTACTAACTGTACTGCTCTGCTGCTGCCAGTTTCTGCGTTCTCTACCAAACAGATATATCAGCTGATGGACCTTGTAGTTCCCAAGAGCAGATGTTTCTTTAGGGGGCTGATGACACTAAAGGTCATGGTTAAGCACAATAAGAGAGGAAGAAGCCATGTTTGAAGATAATGATGCAGGGAAAGGCACTATGCAGAAATCAAAAACTGGAGTTGGAATACTGAGTGCAACAGATATCAACTCAGAGATAGCCGCCATGAAAACACAGATGTTCCATGGTGGAGATGATGACCCTGTTGACAGAAAGAATCAAAGCATAATCAGGAGAGCGTGTGTTAGGGCCAGCCCAGAAAATGACCCAGATGATAAGGTCTTAGGCTACTCCAACTTAGAGGTTGAAAGAATCTGTTATCAGTGTGGAGGGATAGACCACTACAAGTGAAATACTAAAGTTAAATTTTCTGTGTTAAAATGAAAAAAAGATGTTATATTCTCCTCTCTCCTCAAAGTACCCCCTAAGCAAGCCATGTGCTAAGGGGGCATCCATGTGCATACTCCTGGGTGGGGCTGTGTGCACCTATAGACACAAACAGAGCCACACCCCCTCTTCTTCTGCTCAGGAGTTTGACTGACAGCAACAGGAGCCTATGACTCCTACTGCCATCAGTGTCTCCTTTGAGACAAGGAAGAGAGGAGAGTGATGCTGCAGCCTGGACAACACTTGATTGATGAGAGGAATCAGGTAAGTGTTTAGGGATGGGGGAGGTAGGATAGAAAGTGAAGAGGTTTTTACCTTAATGTAAAGAACTCATTAAGGTAAAAAAAAAACTATTTTGACTTTAGAACCACTTTAAAAGGGAGTCAGATAATGCTGCTGAGAAACTCCAGGGCACATGGTGAAGGTGTCAGCTGAGTTCCCAGTTGAAAAGAACTCCAAAAAATCTAATAGTCAAAGAACCATCCCTACATCATTCCAGTCAACTATTTGCTATAAGATCTGGATAAACATTAGTTGTGTTTGCTTCAAATTCCCTTAACTGGGTCAGAGAGAGTAGTAAAAGCAGCTTAAAGAGAATCACACCTGCAAGGAAAGTCCAATCAAAATTAATTCCTGAGGTTAGAACAAATGTAATTTGTAGTACATCAAAACACATATCACTGGACTATCAATCAGCAAGAAGAAAGGAAGCTTACCCAACAGTTTAGTGGAACTTTCTCCTGTATTGTCAGTGAAGATAAAAGGAGTGTACATGAGAACATTACTGCATACTGGGGTAGAGATTACCATAATATGCATAGATTTCAGAAGCATTTGAAATGTTTTCTATACTATAAACTGGAAGAACTGGAGATCTGGGGCCTCAATTACACTGAATTTGACTAGAATAGATATGTCTCTCTCAAGTTAGAATTTCCTTTCTCCTTTGGAGGGACTACAGAAGTCTTTGAGACTTTCAGTTGTGTGCTCTAAGCTGAGATAAGATACTGGAACCACTATGTTGGTGGAAACACAGCTTTTGGTAGAAGAATGCTAGGATCTACTTAATTCAGGTTAATTCAAGGTTCTTATTTTAACTGAAGATACACACAGGAAAACCCTATTTTGAGCCGATTCAAGGTTTTTATTTTAACTGAAGCCCTGATGAAGGGGGAGTTTTTTCTAACCCCCCAAACATGTTAGCTGTTTTTTTTTTTTTTTTGAAAACTAGTAAATTAATTTGGGCACTTTTTATCCTTTGATCTGGCTCTACTTCCATTGGTGCATGTTTTTTTTTTTTTGGGACTTTGAATTACAGAACTGCTCCTCACCAATATGCTACCCCCACCCCATTCCTCTTGAACTTTCTTGTGGGCAGCAAGTGGTTCAGTGTCTGGATTTAAGACTCTGGTACTATCAAATTCTGATGCATCGAGAGCACTGTGAGAAGACTGTGTTCATCTCTTCTTTAAGATTCTTTGAATTAGACTGCATGCTTTATGGATTAAGTGGTTCATCTGCTACTTTCCAGACTTGATATATAAATATAAAAACTGTAAATTGACAACTTCCTACCATCTGTGACAGATGTTGGACATGTAGGATCAGGTGACGATATAGCCATTGACCCAAGTAAAGTCAAAACTGTTAAATTTTGGTCCAGATCAAGTACCGTCCCTGAACTAGTCATTTTTCTTTGACTATAGAGGTTTCTCTAAAGCTGGGAATCTCCTTAACAAGTTGCTACAAAATAAAACAAACATTAAAGAGACAGATTGTGTCAAAAACAGCAGCACAGTGGCTCATTAACCATTTGCTAGCACTTCTGTCTGGCAGTACTAGGGTCGTCAGTTGGAATCCCAACTATGGCACCACCTGCCTGGAGTTTGCATGTCCTCCCTGTGCCTGCGTGGGTTTCCTCCCCCACACTCCAAAGACATGCTGGTAGGTTAATTGGCTCCTGTCTAAATTAGCCCTAGTATGTGTATGTATGAATGTGATTTAGGGACTTTAGATCACATGCCCCTTGAGGGTTAGAGACTGATGTGAATGTACAATATATATATCTAAAGAGCTGCGTAAATTGATGGCGCTATATAGTAACTTTAATAAAAAATACTTAATAAATAAAAACACCAGGAGGTTTGAAAAAAAAAGAATAGAAGACTGCTGGATGCCTGAGTGTGAACAGATGTTTGAACAACAGTACAGTTTCACCCATGCACTGTTGTTGGCATATGCTGACCCAGCAAATCATTTACCCTTCATGGTGATACTTGCAGAGAAGGTTTAGGAGGAATCCTTAATTTGTCAGTCAACGTTTATCTCTAACAGAAAAAAAAGCTAGCCTACACACAATCTGGAATTCATTGCATGGGTAGCTCAGTGTACATTCTAATGAAGATTGTGGGCAGACAGGTAAGATTGTTTTAT